ACTTAGCTACCTCTTAGTGGAGAATTTAGCTTGCCAACAAACATGACCAATGATGCCAACAAAGTTTGATATTTGATTTGGTATCTTCAAATAAAGAAGACAAACAAATTGAAATATAACAAATATCAAAATAGTACAGCTATAAATTTGTCCATCTAGCAAAGGTGCAATTGCTAACTAAGTTCTATCGCAGGAAATTGCTTACTATGTTCAAGCTGTATGTGTAACATTTAAGTCACAATTACCGTATGCGAGCAATCGTGTGGAAAACATAACAAGATATGGTTACTTCCTAAGATATAATGACCAAAGATGAGAAGTCACCTGGTGGGTAGAAACTCGTGAAAGGATAACAGCGATATGCAGAATGGGTCACATTTAGTTTCCTGGTTTGCATTGACTTGCGTCGAACCATATAGACACTGTCGTGGGTACCTAAAAAGATTACATCGGTAGCCTCATCATACCCCACCAATCGAATACATTCCCTCTTTCTCCCAGTTCGAGGAGGGATGTTAATAAGGTTACGCAATGGAACAATCTTGCACGACAACCATATGGCATCACCTCGATAATTAACCATTCGCTGCCATAGTCGAAGGGTATTGTAAGACAACGCGGCAATACCAACGGCGCCATCTTCTGCCTGGATGATCTGGAAATTGTCGGAATAATTCACACCAGGAGGCCCCTTTATCACGGTAAGGTTCTGCGTGTCCAAATCAAACTCAAGTATCTTGTCTCCCCAATTGTGTGAAGGCCAGTAAATGACATTACCAACAAGGGTGCTAGGACCAAAATAAACACACTTATTATGTGAAGCCTCTGTAGAGATGATACTGCTCCATGTGTTAGTCTCCGAGGAATAAACACGGGCGATGGGTGACCCATAAATAGATCTGTATTCTCTGTACATGGACACCAAAACCACCTTAAAGGGGCTCAAATGGCAGGCGCCATGTACGTGGCCCTGATCGCGGGCAGCGCAGAGCACCGCCCCGTTGAACCACTCCCTCTGTAACTCCAAAGGGACGGCCACGGGGCACTGCTTGCCGGTGATGGGGTCACACACAATGACCTCTCTCCACAAATGGTCTCCAATGAGAACAAGGCCGTGGCGGCACCCGAGCACATAGTTCTCAATGGGGAAGCGGAGCACGCTGTCATCGTCGTGGTGGCCGCCATATCGTAGAAGGTCGAAGCGCATGGGAGGGATACGGTCGGGAGGGTCCAGGACTGGAGTGAAGACGATGCCTTCGCGGTACTCGAAGAAGCCAAGGAGGGGCGGCTTCCGATGATGCTGATAGAACTGGCGGAGGAACCTGGGATCAGCGGCGAGGCGCCGCCACCGCTTACAAACGACGGAGGCACGCAGGAGGGAGGACGGCTTCGACGGGAGGCGGAGGAGTATCTCCCAGAGGAGATCGTCGTCTTCCAGCACGGCCAGCACGGAGCGGCTGCGGCGGTGGCGGGTCATGCCGGCGCCCTCGCTCTCGGCCGACCTAAGACGCTCCCACGCTGGGTGGATTTCTTTTGGGGCCCGATCCCTGGTGTCCTTTCTTTTCTTTGTGTAGGTAGATTTGATCTCTTGTTGCAGTTGGAAACTAACTTAAACGTGATAGACTCCTACTCGTCGTAGCTTCCTTCCACTAGTTAGGATTTGTCCTATAAGACGTTTTTGCAATTCAAATCTGAACTGAAAAATGTCTATATACAGTATTTGCTGGTTCCAAGTTTCCAACAGTACCCTTGCAAAAAAAAAAAATTCCAACAGTACGTACAATCGTACATACGTCGGAACATCGCGAGCTATATACTGTATTTGCTCGTCCCAAAAAAATCACTTCGTCCAGGAGCAGCCGTGTAATCATTTTCCTATCCCACAAAATTTCCAGCATCTGATGGGGTAGTTGTTCTGAAGCTTTTGCAGAAACTGCAATTTCCTCTTGCCAAGTGTGCGTGTGTCTGCTTGGTTGGTCTCAAGCAACATGTATAGTTCCATAGGATTGAATGATGCAAAGTTTGATTGCAAGATGATTTCTCTGCTCACGCACGTTTATTTATTTTTCCACCATTGGCATTATTATGGGTGGCAAGTGGCAACAAGGCAGGGAGCTGCTACTGTAGCGAGCAACACGTTCTACCAGAGGGAGACGTGTTTCAGCGGTGCAGATTCAAGTTGGATTCGAATGTGTGCAAACAAAATAAAAAAAATACTCCGAGCGACTGCAGCTATCCAAGGAACTGATGGCAAGAACAAATAGATGGAAAAACAAATCCGTAAAGAATATGAGGGCTACTAGTTTGCTTTCTGTTATCATCGCTTGTTATTGCATCTTTCAAAAAAGAAAGCGTGTCACCTTGTTATTGAATCTGTAAAGATGTTTTCTGTCAGTACAAGTTGCTCACCCGGTCATTAACCCTTGGTATAAATAAACTCCTCCTGTAGCAAATATGCCTAACAAATAATTCTGCTCTTCTTTGAACGGGTTCGGCTCCTCTGCAGTCGAACTACTACTGCACGGGTGCTGTAGATATCCACATCAACCGTCAATTCCAATCTGACCGCTCTAGTTTCCCCACTTAATTCTTTTACAAAATGAAACAAACACCCCAATTTGTCCGGTAAAATATCTCCTACGGCTGCTTGGCGCCAAACAGAAAGCACGTTGGCGCCAAACAGCGATCTCCATGCCTTCGTCCCGTCGGTCTTCCCCAGTCCTCCTTGATCATCCTCCTTTGACCAAGGTATATGTTGATCTATGGGCGGCATAGAGATCCCCTTGTGCCCTATCTCTGTCCTCCTTACATTGATCTGGAAGTTTATGTGGCATAAAGATCTCCCTTTTGCCCTATCTCTCAATTGATTGTTCTTCTCCCGCTGATCTGCAAGTGGTGTGGGTGATCTCCCTTTTGAACTCACTTTTACCATCCTTCTCCTAGCAGCAAAAAAGAAGCTGGTCAATCTCAAGGTATGTGACATGTGGTCTGATTCTATTCATGTTCTCAAGGCAACAAGAGAATTCCTAGACTGATTTTGCTATATGATTACAGATTACAAAAAAAAAGACAAGGTTTAGTGGAGAATATGATTAACGGCAATGAAGATTCAAACAGGTACCATCAATTTTAATAAATTCAGTAGCTAAATTGCAGAGGAGCCGAACCCTCCAAACAACTAGTAGAAAATCAGTAGTGACAAGGGAGGAAGGAGATCCAAAATTTATTCCTGCACCTTTTGGATGATGTTAGACTGAAAAAATATATTTGAACAGAAGTGATCTCTATTGTTCTAAATAAGCTCAAGATGAAATACATGAATGTAGTCAGAACTGTACATGCAAGTTGTACCATAGGTGCTTTGCTGACAGATGTGATCTCTATTGTTTTGAATAATCTGAAGATAAAATACATGAATGTAGTTAGATCTTTACATGCAAGTTGTACCATAGGTGCTTTGCTCATGAAATACTTGGGATTTCCAATACTTGACAGGAGATTAATGTAGATGATCTCCCTTTTGCCTTCCTTCTCCTAGCAAAAAAAGACGATCAATCTCGAGGTATGTAACATATGCTCTAACTGTATTCATGTTCTCAAGGCAGCAAGAGAATTCCTATAGACTGACTATCACATATTACAAAAAAAGGAAACGAAAAGGTGTAATGGAGAATATGACCAACTCCAACAAAGATTCAAACAGGTACACTCAATTTTGTTAAATTCTCATGCCATATCATCATATTCTTGTAGTGTAACTAGACAAATAAATTAAGATATGCCTATTTTTTATAGGACAAATATGATTCCTAGTTGGATGCCTCAAATTGGTATGAAATTTAATTCCACAAAAGAGGCCTGGGGCTTTTGGACTTGTTATGGAGGTCATATTGGTTTTGACGTAAGGGTAAATTACGAAAATAAGAGCAAACTTGATGGGGCAATCACTTCCGCGAGATACGTTTGTTCCAATGAGGGCTACAGAAGAATAGACAAAAGAGATCATAATACCAAGCGTCCTCGTGCAGAAACAAGGACTGGTTGTAAAGTTCGAATGGGAATCACTATCGACCGAGAAACAGGAAATTATGAAGTACACGAGTTAGTCACTGAACACAACCATGTCTTGCAATTGCCTGGAACATGCCACTTGATGCCATCACAACGGAAGATATCGACCTTGCAAGCTTTTGACATTGAAACTGCAGATGATTCAGGAATTGTACCAAAAGCAGCCCATGAGCTGGCAAGTCGGCAAGTTGGTGGGTCATTAAACCTTACCTACACACCTCGTGATCACAAGAACTATTTGCGAACCAAGCGTCAAAGGGAGTTGATGTATGGTGAAGCTGGAAGTATGCTCAAGTACTTTCGAGATAAAAAAAAATGAGAATCCTGCATTTGAATATGACGTACAACACGATTGCGATGAACAAATAGCAAATATCTTCTGGGCTGATGCAAAGATGATCATTGACTATGCTCACTTTGGTGATGTTGTTACGTTTGATACTACATTTGGGACAAATAAAGAGTACAGACCCTTTGGTGTATTTGTTGGCTTCAACCATTTTAGAGAAATGGTCATTTTTGGTGCTGCACTTCTATACGACGAGACATTTGAATCCTTCAAATGGTTGTTCAACACTTTCTTATCCATACATAACAAAAGGCACCCTAGAACTATCTTTACTGACCAGGACGTAGCAATGGGTAATGCAATTCGGGCGGTATTTACAGAAGCATGGCATGGATTGTGCACTTTTCACATAATGCAAAATGCCATCAAACATTTACCTCATAAGAAAAAAGACGAGGATGGCCCAAATGTACTTGCTGATTTCAGTGCTTGCATGTACAAGTACGAGGAAGAGGAAGACTTTGAAGAAGCTTTCACTGCCATAAGAATCAATGTGGATACACAGACTTGGTTGGACAATATCTATAAAGTAAAAGAGAAATGGGCAAGATGTTACATGAGAAATGCTTACACTATAGGCATGAGAAGCACACAATTAAGTGAGAGCTTGAATAGTGACTTGAAAGACCATTTGAAGTCCGATCTTGACATTCTTCGTTTTTTCAAGCACGTAGAGAGGGTTGTGCAAGGAAAGAGAGATAAAGAGGTAAATGAGGAATATGAGTCGAGGAAAAAATTACCTAGAGTTAGAATAAGAACTCCTACAGTAATACAAGCAAGCAAAGTTTACACACCTAGCATATTTGAAGATTTTCAGAATGAATACGAAAGATCCATCTCAGCGTACATCAAACCATCGGAGGAAGACAATGTATATACTATTGCAATTGCCAATCTTGACCCGGAATGCTCTTATGAAGAAGAATGCAAAGTTATAGTTGATGAAGAGCAAAAAGTTCTATGTAGCTGTGGCCAATTTGAAAGAGTTGGTATATTGTGTAGTCATGCTTTGAAAGCCCTTGATGTCATGAATATTAAGTATCTTCCAAGCCACTATATTTTGAAGCGATGGACTCGAGAAGCACGAAGCGGCACTATTCAAAACAGCCATGGCAACATTGTTTTGGAAGACCCTAGATCGGAAGATAGGCAGCAGCTGAAGTTTTTCATGCACGAGTTCCTTGGCATAGCTTCCCAAGCAGTTGCATCAGAAGAGTGCATCAAATTAGTAGATGATGCTTTGAAGAATCTAAAGAAGCAAGTTGAAGACAAAGCTCCTACTACTACATGCAGAACTGAAGCTATATCTCAGGAACCAGACATTTGTTTGCAAACAGCTTGCCTGAAGAAAAAGGAAATTCAGCAGAAGACTTCAAAAAGGAAAAAATCATGGCTTGATAATCAACATCCCAGTAAAAAGAAAAAGGAGGGCAGCTAAAGTCATTCCCGAAAAACAATCTTCTTCTGTAAATCTCTTATCACTTATCGAAACAGCCTATAGATTTACTAATAACTCAACTAATGTTTGTTCTGATTTATATTTTGCATAGAGAGGAGAGAAGTACATTCCAGTTGCACAATGCGAAGCACCTACAGAGAAAATGACTGGAACAAATGCAGATGGTTTGCGGGACTATGGGTACTATGCTCATTTACTAACGGTATTCCACTTATCTTGTCCAAAATTCCTAAAATCCATTTGCAAGCAATATGATTTTTTGTGTAATCTGTTATGTCTCTCTTTAATTTACAGAGTGAAGCCGATGATATTTGGGACTTGGAAAAGAATCCATATTTTCCTCCGATATGATAATAGTTTGATAGGGAAATAAGAGGAGAGTCATGCATTTGTGGGATTCATATCCTCTATGTCAACCACAACTACAGCCGTCACTACAGCCGTGAACTGCAGCTAGTAATTCCTTCTATTTGTGATGTGTTTAGTACTTAAGGCAAATACAGAGAGAGCAGCCTTTGCATCCTATTATTGTATTTGTAATTCCTGTAGGCAAAGAGAAAGGAAGAGGAACGTTTGCTTCTGTTTATCTGTTTTAAAGTCAGGAAAAATAGAAGTAGAGTAGCACCTAGTTTTGCTGATGTGTGAAGTGGCAAGGACTTGAGCTTTTGCATCACAGTATCCTGGTTTCCAAACGAGATGAACCTCAACTTAGCCTTTTTCAAATAGTTTTAAGATCATCAAAAACTGATTTACAGTAGTCTAGAAATTTGCTAGTAAGAACCATGCCAAAATCTCTATGGATAGTGAGACGACGACACAACGGCGCAGTCAAATCAAATGCAATTGCAGTAAGATAACAATCTGTATTTAGACCACAATAAAGCAACATTGAGAAACACAAGCTACATACATATAATTCTGAAGATTTGCACGGACAAGATCAATGGACAAGGGTCATGCTAAACACTACAAGGTAGGAGATAGCCACGTACTGATCTGTGCCTCTCCCGAGCTCGAGAAGCGCCTGCACGGCGGACTCCCACGCGCCGGAGAGGCGGAGGAATAGCTCCTTCCTGGGCGGTGGCGGCGCGGGGCCGGCAGATCCCCATCTGCGAGAGGCTGGAGGAAGCGGGCAGCTTCCATCGAGGTGGAGGGCGTCGGGCGGCGCAGCCTGAGGAAGGCGGAGTGCTGCCACGTACCTGCCGTCGACGGCGTCGGCCGGCGAGCCCAGGGAACGGCGCCTTGCGGCAGATCCGGAGAAAGCCGGGGACACAGCCGTGGCGCAGCAGGCGGGCATGGAGGTCCATCCGCCGGACCGTCGCTCGGTGAGGGAGTGCGCTTGGCCGGAGATACGAACCCTCGCCGGCGGCGAGGTCTTCTGCTCGCCCCTGCCTCAGTCTAGTTAGTGTGTGGTGTGCAGTGTGAACGGAAGCACTTATCTGAATGCATAAAGGCTTTTTTATTAACAGAATTAAGTAGGTAAAATGCGAGCGGTCAGATGGGAATTGACGGCCGATATGAAGGTCTACAGCACCCGTGCAGTAGTAATTCGACTGGCAGAGGAGCCGAACCCTCTTTGAACTAGCGCCCAACAATGTACTGAAAATGATAGCTGCGTGCGTGCCTCTCCTGGCGTGTTCTTGTGATTCTAGACAGAGACCCTCGTCTACAACTTTGGCAGGTCTACAGACTGAAACCGAATCCGTGCTTACATGGCATCACCTGGACACAAACATGTAAAAAAAAAGATGCTGGAATCCGACTTGAAATGATACTTGGGAAAGCTGAAATTTCTAGGATTAGGTGTTCAAAAGCATCTTCATGATACGTTTTCAGATAACATATAAACAGTGCCGACCACAATGATGCATTACATCAAACTCGGTGAGAACTGCAGGAACCATTCCTTCACCTGGAGAAACAAACACATTATTAGTTCAATAACACAAAGAAAAACATTGTAAGAAATACCAAACTCCTGGATACATCTCGTAGGAATACCGATGTAAAAATAAATAAATCCCTGAAGCCTTTTAACACTATTTTTTTAGGGTGGGAGTTCAATGCTACAACTGATGTTGGTATTTCTTATAACAAAATTAACTATTAAGTTTCTTAGGGCTTCTACCCATGCGAGGTCACGTGGGCAGTTAACCTGAAGTTGTGTTTCGCCTAAGTCAAAACAAAACTAAGGGGGCTAATCTATTGCTTTCAGATTTTAAATTATGAGAAACATCTAAATGGAACAAGAACTCTAGGCATGTCAAACTCTCCAAGTCTCTCATAAGCTATATTCAGAAAATCTTCTTACCCGTTGAATCATTTCAGCACATTAGCAACAGAAAATCATCTTATGTATCATGGAGCATTTTTTTTCCATTATATTCACCATTAATGATTGCACCTAGAAGCATAAGAATTCAGACTATTAGCAATGGTTCCGATGAGAAGGCAATGGACAAGAGAATGCAAGAATTACTCGGTTAAATATATGAGATGCCTTGAGCAAAATAAATTTACATTCATGGATGATTCGTAACTGAACTTTTATACAAAATGAGAATATAATATAACTTAGCAAAGTAAGTAACGTTGTGTAGATACTACCAATGGTAAACAAAACCACGTCTGTTGTAAAATGCGAATGATATTCCAAAAAATAGTATATGTAGCTGCCTCGATAATGAAGAATTTTGCTCACAAAGAATATTTTCTAACGTTTTTATCATGTAAACCCACCCCTCCTCGCATCATGGAGATAAAAAAAGTAAATCATGCCCAAGCTAATAAACCATAGAAACAAAAGTGTTATTCGTTATTCTATTGGAATTAAATGGAAACTAATTAAAGACAAGAAATGAAATAATTTCTCATGTGCTATAGATGTACTAGTCACATGGTGTATTTTCTCTTTAATTTATCAAGTGATGAAGAGAATTATTTTTGACATGAACAAAAAGAACTATTGGATTCAAGGGAAATTGAGTTACGGGGTTATGAAAATTATTAAGCTAAAAACAGGTGAAAGTACTAGTTACAAAATATAGGTGGTTTTAGGATTCCAAACATGCCAACTAACCACTCATCAACATTTAATTCACATTTTATTCATTTGAAACTTGATTTGGATCGTCCAAAAATGAAGAGAACTACATTGAAATGACAAACCAAAATATAATCCATCTATAAGTTAAGTTTGACTATCTAGCTAGCAGAGGGACAAATTATGTTAAGCTCACATTGTTTGACTATCTAGTAGAGGGAGAATTGCTAACACTTTCTATTAAGCCTAAGTTGTCGGTGACTTAATAAACACAAACAAATGCTTGAGGAACCATGTATGAACATAACTAGATTAGGTTATCCTACAATATAAGGGTTAAGGATGAGGAATCACCTAGTCCATAGAAACTTGTGAAAGGATGGTACAAAAGGAGTGAACTATGTAGTTCATCAAATCTCTTCGATTCCATTGACTTCAGTTGAACCATGCATATATTGTGGCCGACATCTATGAAAATAACATCAG